TGAATATAAAACACGAATTAATTATAGAAAAATTGGCATAATTGGGTATGATAATTTATACAGAACTAGCCAATGATTAAACAAAAAAAAGCATAAATTTCCAAAGGGCAAAAGACACTGAGAATTGTCGAATGTCGACTGCCACGAGGGATGTAATACGATACTATCGTAATTCACGTTGGTTTCACGCTTTATGCGACGTGCACAACACGCGGCCGTGAATTTACAGGGAGTATGAGAGTCTGTCGTGCACGGTGGCCTCGGGACAAAACCTTCGCATCCTGACTTGATGGACGCCTGGCCGGTATTGGATTAAACGTCGCAAAAAAATGTATGAAAAAGAAACGAGATGGAAGAGCGAAAATGCAGATATAATAAAAAATAATAAAATAAAAAGTTAAAACGAACAACAAAAGTTATATCGTTTTATTGAAAATTTTGAAAAGGATTTGATAGTAATTAAAGTATTTTTTCCAATTTTTCGAGTATGATTGTTTATCAATTTTTATTACATTCGATAACATAACCATATTCCATTAACTTTTAATTGCTGCTGAATATTGTTATGGCTCATTCCAATTAACAGCAAAGAATGAATTTTTGGAATTAATCTAACTAGCGGAATGGAAAAATGTTAATTATTTGATAAGTAGTAATTAAGCGGGAAATTGAAAAAAAAAATGCAAAAATTGTCAGAAATTCACTTTGATAGAACATAAAGGATAAATTTAGGAAAATGCAGTCAGAGTAATTTTACTGATAATACAATTTATTGTATTTTATTTCATTAAAACCGATGCGTAATTTTTCTAGATATATTTTTTTTCATTTCATCACAAAATGAATTATTGAATTATGGAAAATTTATTATTTTATTCAATAAAATGAATCAAAAATAGAAAGCTTTTTTAAAACCCGTTGTTGAAATAAATATAGAAATGTTAAAAAAGCTATTAGTATCAAATATTAATCATTTGTGTGTTTCATTCGATGTGAAATAAAAAATAATTGTGAATATATTGAGATATAGGATGAAAAAGTAATTTTTCCAAAGACTCATTTTAATTGATAGGATATATTTAACTAATGGATGTAGGTCTTTTTATACTATCTCTTCCCTACATTGATAGAATACTCTAAATCAAAGTTATTGAAAGGGGGTCAAAAATGTTCATCAGTTTTAAACTGCAAGAAACTTGTAAAAGAATGGACCAAACTTAATTTCTCGAATGATTGATTCTGTCATGTAGGATTTCAAATAATCTCGTATTCGCCGATAACTATTTTCAGTCAATTAGTAACAATTCATTCCACTCAAATTAACTTAATTATCATAACACATTCATCGAAGATATTTTTCCGAACAGTAAATGAGTTATTATTATTTCAAAAAAGCTCATTCATAAAACAATCATTTATGTATCAAGGAAAAAAATATCTAGCAATAGAACGACACAACTATTAGTAGTTATTTTGAGATAGCAACTTAAACGATAAAAAGAAAGAGATTGAATGTAAGAATCTGGTGATAGAGAAAGGTAGGGGAGAAAAAATGGTATAAACAGAAGAGGGTTCAAAAGGGGTTGTAACGGAGAGGACGAAAGATTCGGACCCTCAAAAGCTCAGTAGAGAGAATGAAAAACGGAAAATAGTTGTTAGAATATAGAGTGAAAAAGCAAAACGCATTGTATCGTGAGCTTTTTGAGCGAGGGCGGTGGTAGTTCAAGGGGTGGGCGAACGTCGGTCTGTTGGCTGCCAGTGAGCCAGTCAATCATTACGAGCTGCGCTTGCGTAGATACGAGGAATCCCACTCTCAACCTCTTCTTCGTCCTTTCTCCTTCATCCCGCTTTCACTCCTGCAGTCCCTTCATTTCCCTCAGTTGCGAATTTCACCCCTTACTCTGTTCATGCTACAAGCACGCTACAATGCTGCCTGCCGCCGCCCATCGTGCATATTTAAGCGAGCTGTCTTGCTATGCAATCGTTACACCCACGTACATGCGTGCGTAAGTATTCATCCAAGAGAGAAACACCAAGCCAGACACTGAGGCAACCCTTCGAAGCTCTTGTTCTGTCAGCCTTCTCTCGTTCTCACTTTATTTCGTTCTTTCTCCTCGTCAACACTGCTACCTTGCGATAAAGAATTTTGCGCGTTTCCAGAACGAAAAAACGCCAGCTCTGTTGAAGATTTACATTTTTTTTATCCATGGCTGCAGAAGTCGAATAAGTCGTTTCGTGGAAATGACATGATTAGGGAGATTTTTCATGGACCTGCGTCGGTGAATTCACTGAAAAGAAGAATAGTGGAACCAATTTTTTTCAAACCCATCAGTGCTCTCTTCTGCTCCAGTATCATCCTTTTTATATGTACGTTCGACCCAATTGATCCTAGCGTAGTTCGTCTTATCGGACCAACGAACTCATGTGTCACCAGTTATCGATTCCATTTAGACAATGGACTTCTATTCCACCGAGAGTTTTATCCCTATTTCATATAGAATAAAAAAATTAATGAAAAACATATGGGGTTGGTTAGTGATAGTTTTGTAGAATGTTGCTTCGTCAACAGGCGCCCTCGAGCTTAATAACGTCATTTTGCCAAAGCTTGCATCTAATGAATACGCATGCGCTTGGAAACTACAAAAGGAATGTTGGGGGTGTTAGTAGAGGACGTAGAGATAGAACGTACAGGGGATAGTGGGGCAAAAGCAACCCTCGCTCTCTTGCCAGGGTGTTTCCATGACTACGGCGCTCGCGCCTTGACATTGACAAATGGCTGGCCGAGGGTGAGCTGAACAGCGGTGCTTTTACATATGCAGGGACACCCATTTGTCCATTCGGGGTGCGAGAGGACCAAAAGCTTTGTGCTCGGTCTCACTCACCAAATAACCCGTCTGTTCGCGCTCCAGGCTCGTTTCTGGCCTACTGCGATGCCGACAACCATTACCACAACATCGCTGATTTTGCGGTGTCGCCACGAAGGTGGTTCCTACTGTTGCGGATACCGTCTCGCACTGTCGACTGTCTAACAAATGAGATCCCCTGCAGTACTATCACGTACCGATAGTCTATACGTATGAGGGAGCCAAGCAAATTAGCTTACTAATAAACTTTATATTGAATTATTGTATGAGTTTTATTTGATAAGAGAGAATCTGATTTTTTTCATCTTTCTTTGGAGTAAAGAACAATAATGCAACAAAAATACTGATTTTTTTATTGTCTACATTTCTTAACGGTTTTTTTTCTTTTTTATCGATAACTTTTTTATTTGATTTTTATAAAAGCTGTTAAAATAAATCAACGAGAATTTTATAGTTTTTTTGTTTTTTTTTTTGACGGAAAAAAATATTTGAAAATAATTCAACTGTTTGTTATTTGTTGGTATGTCATATGTGAAATAACAGTAAATACCGTTGATCTGAATAAATTATTTTATTTTATTAAAAAAAAAAAAAAAAATGATTAATTTTTGAATGAGTTTATTCTAGTAAGAAATGAAGAAATTATGTTGACAAAGAGTTGTAAAAGAATACAAAAAAACAGTAAAATAACAAGAGAAAAAATTAGATGATGTTCATCGTAATAACCACGTCCCAAGAGTGAAAATGATACTCTCTACAGTATTCTATAACACTATTCACGGGAGGAATATAACCAGGGAAGCTCATCGGAGCGTATAGAATACTTCTATCTCCCTAAAGTGACCACTCCCTCAAGCAGCGCTTCTAATATCTCATTACTCTGCACCACCAGTCGGTCTTGGCCATTACAAGATTGTTTGCTTGTAGGCATCAGCAGCGTGATATATCGCTTCTCTCCCACGACTTGTCGATTTGAAAAGACTACTTTCAGCAAAACTTTCCTATAATCTTTTATTTATTTTCTTTTTCTTTTTCTTTAGACTGTAATTTTGATCTCTGAACTCTTGAACTTTTTAAAGGTTGACTATTCATTTTTTTTACTTGATAATTTTCCTACTAGGCAATAAATAAATCTAACTAGTAAATACACATCCATGTACAAGGACTAATATGAACTATAAAATCTATGATCGTTAACCAGTTGATAGGGAGAGATCGAGATGGCAAAAATAATTGGTGTCTTTCCCGATTCTTGACTGGCCTAACAAGGTCCATTTCCATGGAATAACCATCAACGGTAATTGGCACCTACGGTCTCGAGCAGCGTGCTACCCCTACCGACCTATCATATTTCAGAGTTGGGTGTGCAAAAGGAGGAAACGAGAAGAGTCAGAAGATTTCAGTGGGTCCAAACTGTCTGAAGAATGCGTATACCTCTCAAACGCGTATTTTATACCACCACAATACACCCTTTATGTCGCAAACTAGAAGATGACTTTACAGGGGTGAGTAACAATGCTGAATAAATCGACAATTTTTTAAAATTCTTCCTGTATAATATCAAGATGTCAGTGAACTTAAATTATATGTTTATTTTTTTTTTTTTAATTAAATGATGCCATAAAAAGTTTGATGCAATAACAAAAGTTAGTTTTTTAATTAAATAATTATATATAATTATAAAATATGTTTGAAGATTTTTAAATCTTTTTGTAGAAACTAGTAAGGTTGAGTAAACAGAGGTATATTATCGTGTTTAATAATAAATTTCGAACAACTACTTGATGAATATTCTAATTGAAACATAAAATATAATTTTATAAGCCGGGTAATATTTTCCAATATTTTTTTTTGTTTTCTCATCTGGTAAATGATATAACATATTTATTCCAAGTAGTTTTTCGTGTGAACGTTGCTTGAAGACACAACCTTAGTATAATTATACAATTATAAATTCATTTATGCAAATAGACTTGGTGTAATTAATATTTCACATCGACAAATTTTATTTATAACACCAGTAGTTTCATTCAACCTGTGACCAATTCCAGTTAGTGACTTATAATAATTCCGGTTTACTCATAAATGCTAAATATATATTGTAGAGTGGTTTAATAGAAAGAAAGCGAAACGAAGTATCTTTTTTTAAATTTATTTGCCATTCTTTACTTAGGTGTCAATAGTCATCAATGCGCAAACAGTGGAAAAAATCTGATTCCATACCGATACAATAAATTTTAGCTTATTATACATCATCGTTATCATTAATCATTGTGACGATAACGATAATAATCATCATTACCATAAACGTCATAATCATATTATCATCATCCGTAATTATACAATAATTATTATACATTACTTGCTCTCTTCCTCTTTCTCACACTTTCTCTCATTATTATCACCCTCAAGCAAATATTTTTCTTTTACATACGTTTTTTATACACTCATATAACTAACATACAATGGACTTTCACACCTTTCTCGCTCGTATCGCGGCGCATAAAAACTTGGTATTTAGTTTACCCTCTAACGTGATTATTACTTAGATAACTTACTTTATTTCGTATACATTTTTAAGGCGATGATTCAATCGAATGAACTCATTTTTAGTAAACGAACAGCCAAGATGTAGGATCATCAATTATACATTGTGCAAATCATACTTGTCATTTTGTACGTGCCGATCCTAGCCGATATTCAAATATCGAATATTACTTAATTTTTATCCTAATTAATATTATTATTCACTGTTTTTTCAATATTTATCGCATAAATATGTCTTACACATTTATTACATATACTTTTTTTTATACTCAAATTCGTAAGTCTTGAGCTACTCTTTATCGATTGCACTAAATCCGTACCGCTCTCTCGAAGACTAGTAAACAAACTAGATTCGATAGCTAAGATTAATAACAATAAATCCCAAGATAGAGTTATCGAATAAAATGATCATAAAATATCAACAGGCATTCGCGTCATAAATAATATGATATAAATGATAGCTCGAAGATTACGTATTTGTCACAATGTAAAGTACAATGTTTGGATTATCATCTCATTCGATATTACATTTATTGCATACTTTTTTATTACAATGTAGGTAACTAGTACCGATTTAAAAATGCTGATTCAGTATATTAATGAATAATTAAATACTCTAATGACAGGTCATTATTAAGAATTCAATGTATTTTCTTTCGATGACACTTATCGTCAAATAAGTCTCGTGTCATTGTACAAGTATTCTGGTGAGTTGACTGCTAACAAAATTAAATAATCTACTGATCAACAAATACATTTTTAAAAAATAAGTCAACAACACTTATTACTTGTAAATAAGACGAGTCTTGTATTGAATCATTTTTTTTTACCACAAAAATCTGATTGTTATTGTTATTATAAGATTTATAAAAAAACATTCCCATTTAATCAAATAAATAATATTTAATTTAAAAAATGAACAAATCAGTTAAATGTTAAAACATTTTTTATGTTCTGTTTCAGAACGATTGTATATTATTGAATAAATCGGCTAGATAAAAAAAAGTTTAAAATATGAAACATATCGGCACGTAGCATGACATAAACGACGGACACGATTTACGCCAATTAATCAAAACTATGAACGGTAGACATTCGCACCTGAGTCTTTCAGTATACGTGGATATTTGTTTAGTATACTAGAACACCGATCAGCTTAGTCGGGATGTCACGGGATTGTCATTGAGATAAATCTATGTATCGAATAAAAGAGGATTCTGTTAGCAAACTGGATCGTTAAATATTTTTATATATCTCATTTAGTTTTAAAAAACACCGTCATATTCCCGCTGAGCCTTTCAGCATAAAATGTTCAAATTTACCATAAATCCATGATTTTGTTTATTTATTTAAAAAATTTTATTTATCATATTTCTTGTTTTGTATGTAGGCATATTGAAAATATTCGATAAAATCTTCTTTAGTATTTTCCTCTTCTCTCGGCGCGCAAAGAACGTGACGGTAATATTTACGTCAACGTAAAAAAATACGCAGACCTGGCATTATTTAACTAACATTTTTTTTTTTTTAATTAGTTTATTTTAAATATTATCAATGAAACAATCAAATATTCATAATTTTATAATTCTTATTTCGTATTTTCATAAAATTCTTTCGAAAAGTTATTCAAATATTTCTATTACGTATACCAGAAATGCACGCGCGATATTTTATAAAGGAATAAAAAATACCTTCATGAGGCGAGAATAAGGGGCGATAATAATCAGAAGGAACGGATTAGACAAACGTGGGAATTTCGTTTGATTGACCAAAGAATTGGACGTAATTTGTTTTTCCTAGATTAATGTACTTGTTCATAAATTTTATTAAAATGTCCTCTTAGATATGCTGACTGTCGTTTTCGATGAATTTTCGTTTTTAAAAAGGAATCGGAGGCACGAAGTAAGTGTGTTGCAGTGATAAAATGAATGTGGGAAAGTATTAAAAATGAAAATGATAGAAGGGTAAGAGGGATAAATATATTTAAAAGTTTATCATTATTTTCTTATTCAAAAAGATTAAAATATGCGTTTAAACGAAACGAACGATACTTTTCGAGCCTAGTTCCTACTATACACTCGCACAGTATATAATCATCCAGTTTTCTATTTTTTTTATGATACACTTCCCTCGTTGCATCATATTTTCCGTTTTATCCCTCGTTCAATGAATTTTTGTACGATCTCAAACTTCTCATTCTGCCCTAGACATTCAATCATTTCATTTCCTTTCACACACACTCATACACACTAGCTTACACACTGTTTTTCTCCACTTTTGTTTTCTATTCTTCTGCCTCACCCTTGCTTCGAGCTCAATTGAATTAACTATTTATACACAATATATTATAGTAAATTGTAATAATTAATGTTTAATTATTTTTAGGACGAGCAGTGTGACATTCGTCCTTATTTATGTCAAGTCGCGGACGCTAAGACCTTTTAAACTTATTTTTTCTCACTGAGAACCCTCGTTTTCGTGTCTCTCTATTTCATAAGCGTATTTCTTACGCTACATTTTATTATATTACACAACGAGGGACGAGGATTCTGCGCATTTTTATATGTATATTTATCGTTATTTTCGTTTAATATTTAAAATTATTAATAATTAAGAACTGTACAAATTTAATGTCTCCTAAGTCGAGAATGTCGACGCTCGGTCTAGCAAATTCTTGTGATTTCGAGAATATTCATCCGATAATCTCGCTCTTCCACATGAAGTTTTCCTTTTTTCTTTTCCATCTGAAATTTTTTATTTTTTTTCAATTAATTAACCAACAATTTATTTCTTCTCTCATTCTTTGTCAGCTCCTTGAATTTGAATTCTTCAAGCCAGACCCACTGTAGAAGTTCTCGCGAGCGTGGACATTTCTCATGCGAACACCAGGTAATGTACATGCCCGCTAATTGCCTATATCACTATATTCAATAGTATAGTCTCTCGATTGCGATTGTATTAAAATTTAACATTTATATCTCAATCACTACAATATTACACCGCAATATTTGTACAAAGAACAATCACATGAATTTTTTGCCCCTCACGCGACCCTGTCCAAACATCACTAATATTCTTGAATCCTTTGGCCGCAAATATTTTTTCAATTATTATATTACTTTTGTCTCATTTCCTCAAGTTCGTACTTGAAACTTTAAAACATGTACCTTGTAATTAATTGCTTCAAGACAACAATTGTACGGTTCATATGTTGAAAAGTATCTCTCACATCTGACTCGGAACGCAATAGTCACTTGGACTTGTTTAATTTTATTGTTTGGCCTTTTTACTCGTTACCACTTCATCTTCTGGTCCAGAGATTCGTTCACGATTCTTCCGAATCGGGTAAATCGAGTTGCTTCTTTTTTCCACTCCTTTTTTCCTGCTTTTTTCCTTTTTATTTTCTACGTTGAAGCAACGAACTGCCGAGACGTGCGCCATTTCCGGTCGATCGATAGATACCAGGTTTCATCCTATTACTTTTTCTTCCCTAACGGTAAAGCTCCATTTATCTAGGCGTTCAGCTGGAAAATAATTACCAATTTATATTAAAAACATATTTCTGTATTTCAATTCAGTTTTTTTAAATAATATATACCTTTATTATTTGAATGACAATTTAATAAATGTAATAACCAATTTTTACAACAAAAAGTATGATAAATTTTGAAAATTATATTTATCAGAATCTAACAAAAAAAAAAACATGCTAGAAAATAATTGTTACAATTATGAAGAAATTGTAAAGAAGATAAAAGTTTAAAGGTTACGACGATAACAAAAAAGTTTCTATACCTTTATAAGTGATGACCGTAGTATTCTGGAGGATAATGATACTGGTTGTGAAAGGCAGGGTCACCAGGAGGTCGGTGCATCATGCTGGCCGCTTGTCCGTCCATCATGTAACCCATTGTCGCGTCTGGACTGTAAGCTCCGCTTGGACCTGCGGACAATGGTGGAAACACTACACGTTACTATGGTTAGAACACTGTTCCGTAATTGGCAAGCAAGTACTGGAAATGCTCATCAAGTTTCTCAGTACACTATGACTGTTGCTTTTCATCTCGTTAACTAACCATCCAGATTATAAATCTTTTATTAGAGACGAGATTTAATGAAAGCAACTGCAACAACTGACGATACCTTTGAGCAATGTATTTGGTGTTTAAATGTGTTTATTTTATTGGACAATAGCGAATTCATTGTTAAGTTTTGTGTAATTATCTAATAATTATCAAGTTGAAAAATGATTTAGTAAAAAAATGTCACGTATGAAACATGTTTATTATTTGATTTATTTTCCATAAGTAATAATAAATGTAAATACACTAAAATAGTTTAATAAAAGTGGGAGAAGAAGAAGTATGCATCTTTGAGATGCAAAAAAGTCTTAGAATTGAATATCAATAACCAAAAAATTTTACAATGATAATTCAGTCATTTAGATGATATATAAACTAAAAAATTATTCAGGAACTCAGAAGGAACCTGAGTAAAAAGACTTGTTTTTGAATAAAGGGTTCTATGAAGATTTAATCTTGTGGGTCAGGATGAAGGAGAGAAGATATAAAAATTTATAGATTGCAGAGTAGCAGGAGAGAGAAAAGAGTAGCTTTCCTCAATCGATCCTCGACTCTGTCATCGGCAGGGCGGTAATGGAGCTTGCTGGCCGTCCACATGGGAGGGGAGCGACTACCCCGGTAGTTTTAATGTTGGTATCTTAATGTATATTGCCTCGATAAATCAAGGGCACTGATTGCATCCCATCCTACTTACTTGGAGAGACCCCAGTGCACGAGGGCAAAGAAGTGGGAGAGAGAGAAGGAGGAGGGAAGGTGAGAGAGAAAAGACATAGCCATTATGCAACAGCGCTCCAAGCCTTTCTTATGCTAAATTCAGTCGGCTTCGATCAATCGCGATCGACTCCTGCTTTTTCGTATCGATGGACATTAATCTATAGTCTGCATAAATTTATGTATCAATACCTTCTGATTTATACAGTCAAAATGAAAGGGAAAAAGCTTCAAGGTTTAAACAAGTCTCTGATGTTCTCCTGCACCTTTTTAGCGTTTTATTTTAATGTAAATGTGTCGTCTAAATCATACCAAGTTTTTCATAAAGCGATGATATTCCTTTCGAGATGTTTATTTGAAAAGGAAAAATAACTATCTAGAGAGACAGTTAAGTCATACGCGTTTAACTTTACTCACTACAGGGGCCACGATCGTAAATCACAATTATTGCAAGCGTTCCCTTCTTTGAAAGTGTTTTTCAGAAACGATCCATGTGGCTATCGTCTTTCATTCTTCTTTTTTTTCTTTTAGCTCTTGAATGTCCACCAAAAATTATAGATCTTATGACAAAATAAGAAACATTGCTGGAAAATGATGTTATGAATTTCAAGTATTTGCTGTCCCTTTGAGTCATATTGTGGAATGTTCAGCAAAGTTGCATACTGAAACATAAAGCTTCTATGCAACTGTAGAATATTGCTAATAAAGAATGCGCTTGCCATGTGATTAAACTCAGCAGGATGTCTGGTTCATCGTAATTAGCAGAAAATTCAAGAATTTCTCAATGTTTTCCAATTTATATTTAATCACTACTATTAACATTTATAGTTAAAGACATATTCAGGGACATCAAAAAATGTGATGGAATAATTAATTCTGACAGATTTCATGAATAAGAAATTAAAAATTTTTAGATCAATGAATATTCATGTCAAAAAAATAAAATTGTTTCAAAAAGTGGATGATCAGTAATAATTGAGATTCTGAAAATTTAATAAGTAAATGCCTGTAAGAGGTTGATAGATAAATTGAGGTCCATTTGACGAGAACAAAGTTGACGTGACAAGTCCCAGCAGAATTACAGTAATAGGAAAAATAAAGTGTAATGCAATAAACTCAGTAAAACGTTGTTAGAGGGTAGCTTTTGGTTTTCCCTGTCTTCCTGAACCCCTCAAACATTTACTCCAACTCTGAATGCTTTCCATCTAAGTAGTGTGCGTTTACCTACATAATTTATTTAGTGGGTGAATGAGGTATCCGTTAATTGCTAGCCGCTAAGCTGCGAGAAAGTGTACCATCGGGGCTGTTGGAGAAAAAAAGAGTGTTTTGGCGATGGACGAACATTTTCACGGCTGCGTTCACTGGCATTTACTGAAAGTGTGTGCAATGTTGAGAAGAGACTCTGAGGAACGATTTCGTGCTTGAAATGGAATGAAGAGAAATGGAAAAACCGAACCTACAAAGATTCATTTCAGTCTCAGCGAATTACGGTTATGCGTTTGCCAGCTGGCGAAGTCGAAAGCATTTACCCTCTATGGAAAGACGCCAAATATTTCTGAGAATTACTTTTAGTTTAAAAAGCCAGCCTCATTATAATTATTATTACGAATTTTAATTAATTTTTATATTAAATAAACCTCTTTTTAGGTATCGAATACTTTTACAAACATACATTATTTAAATAGACAACTTATTCGTTATGTGCTAGTTTTATAACGAACTATGTTAAATAAATATGATGAGATATCGTTATTCTGAATATTTTTGTCTCTTACATTTTATCTTAACTAATGAATTTTGAATTTTCTCTTTCCTCCATCGTCTTTCAATTCAAACTCAATAGAATCTAGTTAGGAATTATAAATAAGAAGTGAATTAGGTAAAAGGACTTATCATCAGATTTACCAATTACATCTACCAACTTCACCCTTCTCTTATTAATTCTTAAAATCAACTTACTTCCAAAATTGACTCTTGTTAAATTATATTATATTCCATTGCTCTAACTAGTAAACAATATTATTGATAATTTATTTATCTAATTTTCAAGAAAGGTTGATTATTAATGAATTTTTTCTTTAAAAGACGGAAAGAGATTCCTGTATTCTGGGAAAGCAGAACATGAGAACAACATTACTAGTAACTTATGGTTGTGGTTTGGCTGACATTAAGGTAAGGTAAAGAGCGAAGAGGGGTAAGTTGGAGTATCTAAGTCAAACCAAAAGGGGTTGGTGGACGTGGTTGCACTATGCAGAAGGATTTCTGTAGAAGGTTGAACACTGAGGCTTGTTCTACTCAAAGTTACTTGGCGACGACATACCAACTGTTCTCTTATGCAGTTTCTCGTGAAGTTGAGCTTCTAGTTGCTCACTTCCAAAAGAGAACGTATTCCTTCTCCTCAACTACGAGGCTGAGTACTAGATTTAGGGGTGAGCGCTTCAGATTAACTGGAAGGAGCAAATGAGAAGACAATGCAAGAGAGAGAGAAGAGAGAAAGTCTCTGAGGGTTGTTTTACCGCGGGGCAAGTGATAGATATGAACAGTCGCGGTAGCAGCCATCAGTTTCCTGAGTTAGGAGCGTTACCAACTTCTATGCCAAGATTTGAAGGAAGCCTACAATGAATTCTGCCGTTGGCGAGTTTCAAAATTGACGCTTTAATTAGGGGGAATTTAGCGATAAGCATGAGAAAACGTCAATGAGATAGAATATATTTTGTGACGTAATATATGCGCTTAAGGCTAGGTTTTCTATTCATGTCAACTAGAAGAGAAAAGCTAGCAGGTTGATATCGTGATCAGGACAAAGATGTTTTGATATCCTTACTATCACTAAAAAGATTATTTCAGTAAATTTAGTAACACTTGAATCATAAATAATCAAATATTTAATGAAACTTAAGAAAATTCATCACATTGTTATGTTCATATTATTATGAAATTAATATCCATTATATTATACAATAATAGTATAAATATCGCAACAATTTATACCAAATAATCTGCAAAGGAAAATTTCTTTATTACTGTTCTAAAGTATTTGGCCACTTAGTAAAATACTTTTGGTTAAAGTTTGATTAAGTGAAACTACTTCATAATTACTTAAACTGTTTATTAGCAAATTTCTGACATAACAGTAATACAGTCATTAAATTTCCGATTCATCTATGTGCTCACCTTTACTTTTAATGACAGCCTCATAAAGGTTGTAACTTAAACAAAAAGCAGGTGGCCATACGGAAATCCAATGTATCCATAATGAATGTATCTGGGAGATATATGAAATATATCCAAAATAAAGAGACTTTCAAGTCTATAAATTTTACTACAAAACTTATAGACTTGAAAGTCTTTAATGTTATATTTCTTCAAAAATAATGAAAAAACATTTGTAATACGTACGACAATTTTTTTATAGGCAATGGTTATATAAAAAGTTTAATTTAAAGAAAAAACTTAGATTAAAAATTTTTAATCAATTTATGACTGTTTTGATTGCTATAATCCAATTTCATCTCATATTTGAAGAATTAAATAAAAAATTATCAAGACATTTCAGTTTTATGAACTCTGGCAATATTGTAGTTTTCCTCATTTTTAAAATTTGTCTGACTATCAGCTGAACATTAATTCACTTCATTAAAATATGTAATAGATAGCAAAATATCGAAAATTTTTCAAACTATTTCAAAAGTTTCTGTCATATTTTATGCATAGAGTGCGATTTGTTGAATTGTCGTTGGAGTATTATTTCGTCTGGATAATTTTGTGACTAGCATAGTAATACAGTATGATGGTTGACGGAAGTTGTACAGTCCCTCTCTCATGCTCCTTGTGAGAATTCTGAGAGTTTCACTTCCTTTCGGCAAGTCAGAGAGAAGGAACGGAGACGATTCGCCAACCGGAAACCGGAAATGTGCTCCGGAACCTTCAACAATCCCTCGATGAAACTATTGGTCATCCGCGACGCAATACCGGAAACACCGGATCTCATAATTTATCCTCTATCTTCTTTCTCTACTGTTCTAATTTTCTTATTTCATCTTTTCATCGTGTTATAGTCTCTCTCAGTTAATTTATATAATCAGACTTTCTTCAGCCCTGTATCTCTGCTACCCCAAAAGTCCATCAAGAAATTTCAGTTGGTGATTTAATGCCGGTGTAATCGCGAGAA